TTTATCTACCTTGTCTTTAGGAATGTTACTCCGTTTATTTTGAAAACAATTATTGAGCAATCACCTATTTACTGCTTCTCAGACTCTGTGCCAAGTGCTAGGAATATAAAGTTAAGAGTCTATCATCTCTGACCTGTCTCATCACCTATGACACAATGTGATGGGATTACCCTCAAGGGAGTTAATTTAGTTCTGACTGTTGAAGAGGGAGATGGAGACAGGAAAGTCTGTACTGAGAAGACTCCCTGGGAGAGGAGATAACACGTGATCTGAACTGACAAGGTATGCAGAGTTCAACAGAAGTCAAAAATTCCATAGGCAAAGACATTTTTGCACCAGCCTGCCCTCATATAAGGGTAAATTTGTATTCTAGTTTATTTTCTTTGCATACCTTATGACGTAAGTTTATTCTGGTGGAGATCATTCCAAAGAATCCTATTTACTTCTTTCTGACAAAGAATAGTGGAGAGTTTTAAGTGTGGGTAGATAGGGTTAGGTGTTTTCTCCTTTGTGCTCCCATAGCAGTGACTCTCCACATTAATCGTAGTAATTATCTGCATTTTTGTTCATCTTCTCCTGAGGCTTTGACCACTTCCTGGAAGGAAACTTATTCTCCTAATCATTGTCAGGTATTTGTATTAGTAAAGAAACTTGTGTCTGCAAGTGAAAGAAGTCAACACAAACCAAACTTAACGCTGGTCAACCAAACACACGAAGAGAAGGGGAAAATATAGACTCATGTAACAGGAATGGATTCAAGCCGAGTTAGGTCCAGCTGCTTGAGTCAGCTGTTCTGGGCTGAGTCTTCACATTGTTCTGCTTTTCCCTCTGCTGACTATAAAGTGGATTCTCTCTTCATGATATCAAAATAGATTTGAATTCTTCAATGATAGTCTATCCTTTCTGAGACTCCTGCAGAAAGAGCAAGTCTCCATTTTTGAAAGTTCTAAATAAAATCTTTCAAATGAGACTGTGGGCTTTTACTGGGTCACATGTGAATTGCTGAATGAATTCCTATGGATACAGCCTAAACCATATGGTTTGAGAATGAGTAAGTGTGATTTCCTACAGAAAACTGTGGAGCTGTTACCTGAAGCACAGGGAGTGGATACCAAGAAAATGAAAGGAAAAAATGCTCTCTATGCATGCAATATTTATGGATCAATGAGAGCACATTCCATGCTAGCAGCTCTTTGATGAATTTTACCATCCATAATCTTACTTAATCTTTAGGTAACTCCATGAGAAAAGGGTCATCATCCCCACTTTCCAGGGTAGGAAACTAAAGCAGGAAGGTTAATTATTTAGCATAAGATTTAATGTAAGTTTAAATAATTTATCAAATAATTTGACAAATTACTTAATAAAACTATTAAAATTAAATTATTAGATTAAATTATCTATTGCATTAAAATATAAGTATAAATTATTTAGTATAAGATTAAAGAGCTGTTATATAGTAAATTCAGGAGGTGAGCCCCATCACAAGCTTGATTTTACATCTTCCTTCAGTTTTCACTAAAGCAAGTTGCCAAGATCAAACAACCCAGGACCCACACTGAAGGCAAGGGCACAACTTGTTTATTTCATTTCTGCCAACAGCCTGCTTGACCACCAGGCTGGGATGCAGTCACATGGATCAAAGAATAATAACTAATTTTATTTCACCCTCAAGATCTCCATCAGAACCACCAGGGAGCAGTAGATGACTAAGTCACTCACCCAGCTGCCTCCAGTTAGACACTTGCTTGAAAACGAATGGGAAAGCTTATAGAAGGGGAAGAAGGAAGGGGAGAAAGAATAATGTCACCAATAATTCACATCTGCGTGGCTTTCTGATTCTCAAAGGCCTTCACATACATGCTTTTTTTTGATCTTGCCTTTTCAGGAGCAGGACATGCATCATTAGTCCCATTGTACAGAAAAGCAATCTAAGACCCAGAAATGCTAAGGCAGGAATTTGTTCTAAATCATCCAGCTTGTTCGGAACATGAGCTTGGAAGACAAATGCCCCTGGTTTGAATCCTGGGTTTACCACTTATGAGCTATGTGACCCTGGATGTTACTTAACCTCTCTGTGACCCCATTTCCTCTTCTGTAAAATGGAGCGAAGGATAGTATCCATCTCAAAGTTTGCTGTGGGGATCAAATGATAGATTGCATGTCAAGGGCTAAGAACATTTTTGGCACAGAGTATTCGATAAACACTATTATTATATTTGTAGAATGTCTTATGGTTCACACAAAGTATACTCAGTTCAACTACATTTATTAAACGCCAGAGCCGGGCACCGTCCTAAATTCTGGAGCTGCCAGAATAAGTCACTTATAATCCCACAATGCTTTCGGTCACAGGGAGAGGTATGAAATAAGTGGAGATATACTGATACATTTGGTATAAAGTGATATTTTTAGGCAATAAAGATAATTAGAAGGAGAATTTAGCCCAGTCTGGGAGTGTTAGAAAGGGCTTCCTGAAGGAAAATACTTTTCTAGCTTTACCCTTGCTAAAAATCCTCTGGAAAAAAAAAAGTGTGATTTTTGTCTATTCTATGAATACATGAAAAAAAGCTCAGAAAAGTTAAAAGACTTCCCAGAGTCCCTCAGTGAATGGCAAAGTGGTGTCTCAGTTATGCTACCCTATCCCCAAGGATACGTTTCCTGTGAATAAAGTCATTAAGTAATAAGCTGGGTTTTTTATTTCTCCCACTATCTTTCTTGTTTAAAAGGAAAAAGAAACTATCATTTTTTCTGCAGTTCCCCTTTTCTCCATGAAAAATTTGGCAGAGTGCCAAGTTCTGTAAAATTCACGGTCTGCTAAGAGTCACAGAACCTAGGCCAAAAGGGACAGCTGTATATCACAAGGAATCTAGAGGGATAGAAACGTATATGTTGTTGAATCCTCATTTGACTCCTAACAAGCTCTGACAACAGGCAAACAACCACATAGTTTCATTTTTTTTTTCATTCATAAAATGGAGCAATAAGTTTCCATCTCCTAGAATTGATATAATGACTACATATCAAGTTCTTAGCTTGTGCTTGGCAGACATAATTGCTCAATAGACACTCGCCGTTAACTTTAGCTAGAAAAATGCCATCTACAGGAGGATCACTTGAGTCCAGCAGGTTGAGGCTGTAATAAGCTGTGTTCATATCACTGCACTCCAGTCTGGATGACAGAGAAAGACACTGAGAGAAAGGGAGAAGAAAAGAAAGGGAGGAAGGGAAGGAAGGGAGGAAGGGAGGGAAAGGAAGGAAGGAGGGAGGTAAGGAAGGAAGGAAAGAAGGAAGGAAGGAGTGAGGGAAGGAAGGAAGGAGGGAAAGAAGGAAAGGAAGGGAGGAAGGGAGGGAAAGGAAGGAAGGAGGGAGGTAAGGAAGGAAGGAAAGAAGGAAGGAAGGAGTGAGGGAAGGAAGGAAGGAGGGAAAGAAGGAAAGGAAGGGAGGAAGGGAGGGAGGGAGGGTGGGAAAAGCAGGAAGGCAAGAAGGCAGGGAGGAGGGTAGAAGGGAGGGAGGGAGGGGAAGGAAGGAAAGGAAAGAAGGAGGGAAGGACGGGAGGGAGGAGAGAAAAGGAAGGAAGAAAGGGAGGGAAGGAAGGAGGGAAAGGCAGGAAGGCAGGCAGGAAGGAAGGAAGTCATCCATCTAGTTCACCCAATTCTCCTCTCTGGTCTGAACATAGATATCACCTGTGCATTCTATTTTGCCATCCTAGGAAGCATCTATAGCTTCCCTTGTAAAGTATTCCAATGTTTGATCAATATCACACCTGGAAATCCAACTCTTCCATATATTATGCCTGCTTTCATTTAAAATTTCAACATTCTGCACTCAGAAAAAATAAAAGGAAAAATTTTCTGGTAGTGCTTAAGTGAATTAACATCACAACTTTCTCTCACTCAAATCGTCTAATCCCAAGAACTTCAATTTTTGTCTTTAGAAGGTTTTGTTTCTCCTCTCCTCTGCTGATGGACAGGGCTCTTTCACGCCCTGAGATTGCTGTAGTGATAATGCAGGTATCTGGGCAGAATATAGTGTGTGTTGTGCACTTTGTTTTCAAAGCACATCTACATGCTCACCTTGTTCATCCTAAATCAACTTAGTGAGATGTGGAGAGCAGATTTTATCCCCACATTTAGGAAAGGAAGCATAAAGGAAAGAAAAAAAACAACCATCATTGCCGAGCACTGATTGTATCTCAGGCATTCTGTGTCTATTGTCTCATTTGAACTTCTTAAAAGCCCACTCCAGTAGATATTATTAGATCAATTTGCTGGAGAGAAAAGCAAGACAGAGAGGGAAGTTTTGCACTCAGATTTCTCCAGATAGTAAGTGGTGGAACTGAGGCTTCAGTCAAATCTGCACTAGTCCAGAGTCAATAAACTCAACCACTGGCCTATTGAAGATTTGTTCAACCCATCAGTGACTAACATGGTATTAAAATCCAAGACTCCTGATTTTCAGTCTGGGCATTGTTCGTTAAACCATTCATTCAATCCTTAATTCTTCAAGGTCTGGAGCTACACTTGCCTATGATTAAGAGAGCTGCTACTCACAGAAAACTGCTTTGCGGCTTCCCCATTCCTAGCTTCCTAGGTCATGCCTACAATTTTGGGGTTCCCAAGCATGCAGTCAGAGAGTAATAAGTTATGCATGTGTGTGTATGTGTATATATACATTTTATGTCTATTGTCCATCCAGAATTTGCTGGATTCTACAACAAAAATAAAGATTTGTCAGGCCAAACATCTCAATTCAGCAACAAAAATACTTCTTCACACATATAGTTGAATGTGGAGAAAAATAAAACATAAAATATTCTGGAAATTTCTTCCTTTCACCTGAGTGTCAAGTCCATGGGAACATACAAGTCCATACTCCTAGCCGGGTTGTGAGGCAAGTGCTGAGCTGACGGAAGGATTGTAACCATGTCCACCTTACCCTGGCAGAATGTGCTCATATTACTGTTTGGTATGCTTCACTTTCATTTTCTGTTTCAAAAGGAGATGATGGTGAAAAAGGAGATCCAGGAGAAGAGGGAACACATGGAAAAGTGGGACCCATGGGGCCAAAAGGTAACTAAAATGATATGAAACTGACATGTTAATATCATAATTGCTCTTCTCTCTCTCTCCTGGCTCTTGCCCTGGAAATTAACAGCTTTCAAAATGCCCTCTGCCCCAGTGATGCCTGAAATATATTTCACACATGAATTAAGTCGCCATCTGAGTGCCCCTCTGAGATTACCTGTCAACAAGACTGACAAGTTTCTCAAGTTGCGTTCTTAGGACTGGCTGGGGTGGTACACTGGGAGCCCCAGGGAAAAGCAGTCTTTGAGAATATTTAAGAAACGATGAGCTATAGAGCTATGTTCGCAGTTGTGTCTTCCTTCTGAAGCCAATGCTAAGCAGTATTTTTTTAGCTGGCATAGAGCTTAAGGAGGAAGATAAAAAGAAAAAGAGCTACCTGATTGATTGACCTACTCACCTTTCCCCAAGATCTCTTTATTTCTTTAATTCTCTCCTTTTTTAACACAAAAGAATAATACAGTGGAAAAATGGTGGGAGTATGGGAGGAGAGGGATCAAAGATGAAGAGAGTAACACAGAGGTAATTAGGAAGTGTCTTCACTCACAAAGCCGGGCATCAGCCTCACCAAAATATAACTTCTGGTTTATGATGGGTATGTGTGCACCTTCTGAACACTTGAAATATTTCTCACCCACTACTGCAACAGGACTCCCCTAGACCACTTATTTTAAAATCTTGAATAATTGAAAAGGAAGAGAGACTCACAGACCTGTGAGATCTCAATTTGGAAAATGCTGACTTAACCCTGTTTATAAACGTATGTCAATTACAAAAACATTCTTATAAAATAAAGATTTTTAATTGGCAAATTTTTTTAGATTTTTATAAAAAGAAATAATGTTAGAAGAACTCAGTGATTCCTGACCACAGTTTTTTGGATGAAAATTCAGCAGGACCATGTCTGATGCTTCTTTGATCATTAGGTTTTATGACTGCATGTTCTCTGCCCTGTTTTTAAGTGGCACGATTGTCAAATCTTGTTTTAAAAGAGAGAAGAAACAGAATTCCAGAAGGAAAACAAAATGGAGCTTGAGGAGAACGAAACCAGAATCGGGTCAAGAATACTTTCACCCGGCCCTTCTCTAACCTTTCTTTTAAACATCCACTGCCATAGTCATTCTAGAAATACTACATCAGCAAGTATTTTAATATCATCATGTCCATAGTATATATTCATACTCTCACATTTTAATTTTAATACATACATTATAACTCTGTTAAAATAGATAATATAGCATGGGCTACTTATTACATATCACAGGTAGAATACACTTTTTGATATTTCTTTCAAGTGAATATCACGTTAGCCACATTTGAAGGGAAGATAAAACTTTACGATAAATATATGACATGCTTGCTTTTCAGGAATTAAAGGAGAACGGGGTGATATAGGAGATCAGGGCAATATTGGCAAGACTGGACCCATTGGCAAGAAGGGTAAGTTGCATCTTACTGTTCTCCAGTAGCAATTCAAAGCAAATTGAGGCAGTGGCTCACACCCATAATCCCAACACTGGGAAACCAAGGTGGGATGATACCTTGAAGCCAGGAATTCAAAACCAGCCTGGAGAATACAGCAAGACCCAGTACCTACAAAAATAAATTTCTTTATTAATTAGCTGGGCATGGTGGCACACACCTATAGTCCCAGCTATGTAGGAAGCTGAGGTGTGAGAATCATCTGAGCCCAGAAGTTGGGGTCTGCAGTGAGCCGTGATCACACCACTGCATTCCAGCCTGGGTGACAGAGTAAGACCCTGTCTCTAAAATAAATAATAAATAAAGCAAATTGAGGATACCTTTAATTGTTTTAAGATTTTATGTCATGAAAATATCTCCTTTTTCTTCTTTTAAAATATGCATTCTCTTGGTCTTTATAGTTTGGCTCTTTCTTCCATA